ATGTCGGCATTCACTAAAGTAAAACACGGGGGGGGGATGTGAGGGGGTAAAGGGCAAAATAACACAGGGAAAAAATAAAGGGAAAAAATAATGAACAATTAAAAAAATTTTAAAAAATTCAAAATTGAAATAAAAGATATACAACAAAAAATGCAGAAGTAAAAAAAAAAAATTGTTTTTAAGTACACTGCAAAAGGAAAAAACAAATCAATTTTAAAAAGGGCTATTGGCCAAAATAAAAAAAATTTTCATTGAAATTAAAAAAAGTAAAAATAATACTGGAGACTGAAACAAATGCAAAATGAGCTTCCTTACCCCCTTGGCAAATTTTTAAAAAAAATTAATTAAAAAATTTTTAAAACAAAGGGAAAAATATATAAATAAAAATTAAATTTAAAATTTTTTAAATGGGAAATTTAAGTATTTTTAAGGATGCATAAACGAGATTAAAAATTTTTAATTCATAAAAAAATTTTAAAAAAAGAAAAAAAATTCAACTGCAGAAAAGTGCAAAAAAAAATTTAATTTTACTGCAGAACAAAATGCAACAAAATAAGGGGGGCAGGAAAATTTAAACACGCAGTAATAAAAATGTCACTGGGGGAAAAATCAGGTTAAAATGAGAAAATAAAAATATTTAAAAAAAAACTGATTGAAAAACCCTTTTAAATCTTAAAATTTTAAATTAGACAAAACAATTTCCTTAACAGGTAAGGAAAACACTTTTTTCGTTTAAAAATAATTTTAAATTCATTTAAAAGTGAAAATTTTTTCAAAGAAATATAAAAAAAATGAATAAAAAAAAAAAAGGAACAAAAGGGGAAATTAAAAACTTTTCAGGGGGGGGCCAAAACCCAAAACTATTAGTATATTTTTCAACAAAAACTTGCTGTGACTGATAACAAAAAAACAACAAAAATTTTTGCCCGTGACTGATAAAGACAATTTCAACAAAATCTTGCGTACTGATACGACAAAAATTTGCCCGGGGAAAAATAAAGGTCCCCCCCCCCCCTTTCCCCCCCCCCAAAAAATTAGAGGAAAAAGAGACACTGCTTGGGAAAAAACGAAAAAAAAAAACACACATAGAAATAAAACATAACCCCCCGGGCCCGGGGTTGAAAACCCCCGGTCATTAAAATTCCAAAACTCCAGCCCGTCGCGCTAGCCCCTTTAAACCAGCTAAACCACAAAAAGATTCATCCCAAATAGGTATAATTTTTTTCACCATAGGAAAGTTAGCACAGGCACCTCTGTGACCACAAAAAGCAAGTTTTTACAGCGAATCTTTCCCGCTAGCGGGCCGTGACGAACTCTAGCTCAAAATCCCCCCACGCCGTTAAGGGACTTGAGCAGAAATTCGTCCCCGGCCCCCGGGGCTGGAGATTCCTTTTGTAAAAACCCCTTTATTTGTGGTCACAGAGGTGCCTGTGCTAAATTTTCCCAAAGGGGTAGTGAAATTTAAAACCTAGTTGGATGAATCTTTTTGTTTGGGTAGCTGGTCTTTTGTGGCAGCGCGACGGGGTGGAGTTTTGGGCTCTATGACCGCGGGTTCAATTTCCCCCCCGGGGGGATGGTTTTTTTTTGCAATTTGTGTCATTAAAAGATTTCTTTTGTTTATGTTGACGGCCCGTGGGAAAGGGGCTTGAGCTAGAAATTGTCCCCGGCCCCGCTTTGCTGAATTTTTTTTTCTGTAAAAAACTTTTCATTTTGGGGGGTCACAGAAAGGGGCCTGTCTAACTTTCCCCATGGTTTAGAAATATACCTAGTTGGGGAATCTTTTTGTGGCTAGCTGGTTAAATGGCTAGCGCGACGGGCTGGAGTTTTGAGACTCTTTTGACCGGGGGTTTAATTTCCCCCGGGGGGGGGGTATGGTTTTTTTTGCAAAACGTTTTCATTACGATTTTTTTAAATTTTAGAAATAAATGGATAATTTTAAATAAAATGGGGTGAATTTTCACTGCATGAAATACAATGGGCAATTACTGGAAAATACAACGCTGAAAGAATACAATAAAAAAAAATGAATCACTCACACAGAGTGGACTGACGGGTTTACATACAACAAAAATACTTACTACAGACGAGTAGCAAAAAAGAAAAAAACACAGATAAAAAAAATATAAGATAAGTGAAAACACTGAAAAACACAAGGTTTAGAGTACACAAGAAATTTACTATAAATGTTTCACACATGCAAATGTCTTTAAATGCAAGAAAAATGTCTCTAAATTATTCCACTGAATTTCTGTATTTAGTCGGGTGTTTACTGGTGATGAGGGTAGGTTGTAGGTTGTCCTGCGCGGTGACTGACGCCTCCTACACTCACTGTTGTCGGAAGAAAAGCGCTCTCTCGGTGGACTCCCATAATTGGGTTTTATCGTTGGCGCTCACCTACAATCTCTTGACCAATTATGTGAGCCAAAACAGTATTAGGACCCGGTACAAGGGTACAAACAACCACAGGTAGATGAGGTGGGTGGCTGGTGGTGGTGGTTGATGGTGGGTGGGTGAGAGTATGGTGGGTGAGAGAGACTCGCTGACGCACTGCCGCGCACCCCACTCTACCCACGAAGGTGGCTTGATAAGCCACTCTATGCCACAGGAATGGCGATAACCACTCTTAGCATCCAACAGGGAGCACAAAGCGATATAGACAATACTTCTGAGGAACTTGGCTTACTTCTTACTGCGTGGCTTACTTCTCTCTCTCAGTTGGGTTAGAAGCTGGGTTGGCTGACTGGCTTACCCTACGAGACTTAAGAAATCGTAATGACACGATTGCAAATAAACCATACCCCCGGCCGGGATTGAACCCGCGGTCATAGAGTCTCAAAACTCCAGCCCGTCGCGCTAGCCACTAGACCAGCTAGCCACAATAAGATTCATCCAACTAGGTATATTTCTACACCATAGGAAAGTTAGCACAGGCACCTCTGTGACCACAAATGCAAGTTTTTACAGACGAATCTCCAGCTAGCGGGCCCGTGACGAACTCTAGCTCAAGTCCCTTCACTGCCGTCAACATGACTTAAGAAATCGTAATGACACGATTGCAAATAAACCATACCCCCGGCCGGGATTAAAACCCGCGGTCATAGAGTCTCAAAACTCCAGCCCGTCGCGCTAGCCACTAGCCCGGGCCCGGGGGTATGGTTTATTTGAAATCGTGTCATTACGATTTCTTAAGTCATGTTGACGGCAGTGAAGGGACTTGAGCTAGAGTTCGTCACGGCCACGCTAGCTGGAGATTCGTCTGTAAAAACTTGCATTTGTGGTCACAGAGGTGCCTGTGCTAACTTTCCTATGGTGTAGAAATATACCTAGGGGGATGAATCTTATTGTGGCTAGTGGTCTAGGGGCCCTAGCGCGAGGGGCTGGAGTTTTGAGACTCTATGACCGGGGGTTCAATCCCGGCGGGGTATGGTTTATTTGCAATCGTGTCATTACGATTTCTTAAGTCATGTTGACGGCAGTGAAGGGACTTGAGCTAGAGTTCGTCACGGCCACGCTAGCTGGAGATTCGTCTGTAAAAACTTGCATTTGTGGTCACAGAGGTGCCTGTGCTAACTTTCCTATGGTGTAGAAATATACCTAGTTGGATGAATCTTATTGTGGCTAGCTGGTCTAGTGGCTAGCGCGACGGGCTGGAGTTTTGAGACTCTATGACCGCGGGTTCAATCCCGGCCGGGGGTATGGTTTACCCTACGAGAATGGCTGGCTGGAAGACGTGTAACGATGCACAAAGCACGGAGGAGCAGTTGGATGACAGGAGACAGGCTGGATGATAGGCTGACTGGCGTTCACTTCCACAGTCTGGCTTACACTGGCTTAATTGCAAAATCCGGGTCAACCCCTCAGAGATTGAAGCAATCAGCACACGAACTAAGCCAGGAAGCTTGAAACGGCTGCAACAGGCTTGCAGGCTGGAGGTTGTGAGGGGAGTAGCTGGGGGTGACGATTCACCTTTGACCCTGCCGGCTACTCACAAAAGACTTTTTAACGTCTTGAATTTCCCTTTAAAAACTAAATCCCCCGCTCCCACCGGTTTGGCCCATTTTCATGTGGGATTTTGGGAACGTGGATTGGGAAAAGAAATACTCAGTAGGTGGTTTACTTTAAAATTTTACAGATAAGGTGGAAACCCCCTTCAGCCGTAAAAATGCCCCCTTGTCACTCTCGTTCACTGACTGTGACTGGCCGCCCAGTCCCCATAGAGGGTTTTGAATAAGCCGGTCACGAAAATATGATTTTCGATGTGATCAGGCAGAAGGTTGGTCTTTGAGTCAACGGTACAGGGGTTACTTGTAACGGTTATACTATGGGGACGTCTCTGTCTCCCTGAGTCGTCTGTGTCTGAAATGTTGGTCTGTACTGTGTCTGTACTGCCTGAGTTGTACTGTGTTTGTACTGCTTGTGTCTGTATGTGTCTGTTTTCCCTGGTCTGTATGCTGTGTCTGTGGTCGTATTTTGTGTTGCCTGCGTCTGTAAGTCTGTGTTGCCTGCTTTGCACTGTCGTGTCTGTCTGTCTGTGTCTGCTGACCCTGTACTGTCTGTGTCGCCTACTTTTGTATGTCGTGTCGCCTGCTCTGATGTCTGTGTCTGTCTGGTCTTTTTATGTCTGTGTTGCCTGCGTCTGTACTGTCTGTTCTGCCTGCGTCTTACTATCTGTGTTGCCTGGTCTGACTGCTGTGTCTCCCTGCGTTGCCTGTCTGTGTCTGTACTGCGTGTCTGCCTGCGATGTACTGTCTGGCCCCCGGGGTCTGCACTGTCCGTGTCTGCCTGCGTCTGTACTTCTGTGTTGCCTGCATCTACACTGTCTGTGTCGTCTGATGGTCTGCTGCGCCTTTGTAGGGGTTGCCAGTTGTACAGGGGTGTCTGCCTGCGCTTTTACGTCTGTGCCTGCCTGCGTTGTACTGTCTGTGTCTGCCTGCGTCTGAAAGGGTCTGTGTCTGCCGGGTTTCTGTACTGTCGGTCTGCCGGTCTGAAGTTTGTGTTGCCTGCGTCTGCATGTCTGTGTCTGTATGTCTGTGTTGCTGCGCCTGTAATGTTGTGTCTGCCCGCGTCTGTACTGTCTGTGTCTGCCTGCGTCTGTACTGTCTGTGTTTTCCTGGTCTGTACTGTTGTGTCTCCCTGCGTCGGAATGTTGTGTCTCCCTGTGTTGCCCCGTCTGTGTTTTCTGCGTCTGTACTGTTGTGTTTGTGCGTTGTACTGTCTGTGTCTCCCTGCGTCTGTTCTGTCTGTGTCGTCTGTCTGTGTCTTTTCTGTCTGTGTCTGTACTGTCTGTGTCTGTATGTCTGTTTTGTTTGAGTCTGTACTGTCTGTGTTCCCTGCGTCTGCACTGTCTGTGTCTGTTCTGTCTGTTTGCCTGCCCCTCTACTATCTGTGTTTTCCCTGCGTCTGTACTGTCTGTGCTGCGGGGCTCTTTTACTGTCTGTGTCTGCCTGCGTCTGTACTGTTCTGTGTCTGCCGGTCTGTAATGTTGTGTCTGCCTGCGTCTGCCCCGTCTGTGTCTGTTGCGATGTACTGTCGTGTCTCCCTTTTGTCTGTCGTGCTCCCTGCGTCTGTATGTTGTGTCTTCCTGCGTTGTCTTCTGTGTTGCCTTCGTCTGTATTGTCTGGTCTCCCGGCCCCTTTATTCTGTGTCTCCCTGCGTCTGTCTTCTGTGTTTCCCTGCGTCTGTAGTTGTATTCCCTGCGCTGTAGTCTGTGTTTGCCCTGGTCTGTACTGCTGTGTCTGTACTGTCTGTTTTGGGCCTGGTCCCCATGTCTGTGTCTGTATGTCTTGTCCCCTGGTCTGTTCTCCCTGTGTCTGCCTGGTCTGTACTGTCGTGTCTCCCTGGTCTGAAATGTTGTGTTTCCCTGAGCTGACGTCTCTGTCTGCCTGGCTGTATGGCTGTGTCTGTCGCGTCTGCCTGTCTGTGTCTGCCTGCGTTGTACTGTCTGTGTTGCCTGAGTCTTATGTCTGTGTCTTTACTGTCTGTGTCTCGCTGTCTATGTCGTGTTGTTATTTCAAATTTTTCCCCCAAAAAATTTTTCCAAATTTTGCGTTTTGGCGCAGTATGGTTTCCCTTATTTCCCCAGTACTGGTATCCCTGACTTCCGTACGGGGTATCCTGTATTTCCCCAGTAGGGGTGCCTGTACTTCCCGTACTGGACCCCTGTCTTCCCAGTACGGTACCCCCTGTATTTCCCCAGTTGGTTCCCTGTACTTCCCAGTTGGACCCCCTGTACTTCCAGTACTGGTGTCCCTGTATTCCAGTACTGGTTTTCTCGTATTCCCCATACTGGTACCCCCTGTATTCCCCAGTACGGGTTTCCCCTGTACTTCCCGTACGGGTACCCCTTATTCCCAGTAGGGTATCCCTGTACTTAAAAGTACTGGTATCCTGTATTTCCCCAGTACGGTATCCTGTTTTCCCGTCTGGTTCCCTGTCTTCCCATTACGGGATCCTGTACTTCCCAGTACTGGTGCCCCTGTTTTTTCCCAGTACTGGTTCCTGTTCTTCCGTCTGGATCCTGTACTTCCCAGTAGGGAACCCCCTGTACTTCCCATTATGGTTTCCCCTGTCTTCCCAGTACTGGTATCCCTGACTCCCGGTCTGGTGGTCCCTGTACTTCCAGTATGGTATCCCTTACTTCCCCAGTATGGTTCCCTGTATTCCCAGTAGGGATCCCTGTATTCCCAGTCGGGTTTCCCCCTGTATTTCCCCAGTATTGTATCCTGTGCTTCCCAGTTGGTATCCCTGTACTTCCCGTATGGTACCCTGTACTTCCCAGTACTGGTTCCCTTTTCTTCCCAGTATGGTATCCTGTACTTCCCCGTACTGGTATCCCTGTATTCCCAGTAATGGTTCCCTGTTTTCCCCAGTACTGGTGTCCCTGTACTTCCCAGTACTGGTATCCGTATTTCCCCAGTACTGGTACCCCTGTACTTCCCATACTGGTATCCCTGTACCCCCCGTACGGTTTCCCCTGTATTCCCGTACTGGTATCCTGTACTTCCCCGTACGGTATCCCTGTTTTCCCAGTACTGGTATCCCTGTACTTCCCAGTCGGTGCCCCTGAATTTCCCCAGTCTGGTATCCTGTCCCTCCCAGTACGGTACCCCGTTTTCCCAGTACGGTTCCTGTATTTCCCAGTATGGTGTCCCTGTATTCCCCAGTACTGGGTGTCCCTGTACTTAGTTGGTTCCTGTACTTCCATAGGTTCCCCTGTATTCCCGGTATGGTGCCCGGTTTCCCCAAATATGGTCCCCCTGTATTCCCAGTAAGGGTTTTATCCCGTATTTCCCAGTCTGGTACCCCTGTATTTTCAATACTGGTTCCCTGTGTTCCCGTCTGGTACCCCTGTACTCCCCAATACGGTATCCTGTACTTTTCAATTCTGGTATCCCTTACCCCCCAGTACTGGTTCCCTGTTCTTCCGTACGGGTTTCCCTGTACTCCCCAATAGGTTTCCTGTTTTCCCCCGTACTGGACCCCTGACTTCCCAGTAGGTACCCCTTACCCCCCAACGGTACCCCTGTATTTCCCAGCTGTATCCTTGTACCCCCAATACTTTACCCCTTGCATTTCCCCAGTATAGTTCCCTGTACCCCCCAATATGGATCCCTGTACTTCCCATTGGTATCCTGAAATTTTCAATTGGTATCCCTGTTTTCCCAGTTTAGTTCCCCTGTCTTCCCTTACTGGTTCTCTGTTCTTCCAGTATGGATCCCTATACTTCCCGTACTGGATCCCTGTATTCCCCAGTACTGGTTCGAGTACTTCCCATATGGTTCCCGTATCCCCAAATGGTATCCCGACTTCCCATTTACTGGTATCCTGTACTTCCCAGTACGGGTGTCCCCTGTACTTCCCAGTACTGGTACCCCTGTACTTCCAGTATGGTATCCCTGTATTTCCCCCGTATGGTATCTTGTACTTCCCAGTATGGTATCCCTGTACTTCCCCAGTCTGGTATCCCTTATTTCCCCAGTACTGTTGTTCCTGTATTCCCGGGACTGTTGCTATGCTTGGAGGGGGATGATCAGAAGGGGATGGCTATGAGGTAAAAACCACCACGGGATACCCCGAAGGATTTTCACGGGATTTGCAAAAGTTACGTCGAAGTTCCAGATTTATTTAAATATTATTCACTGAAGAATATGTAAAATCCGGACCTGGTTAGTGAAATTCCCACAATAATAAAAATTTAAAGGTGTTTTTAATAAAGGGAAAATTAATTATTTGCTTTCCGTAAGGTTTTTTAAAAATTTCTTTTTTATTACTTAATAAGTAAAAAAATTAGGTAGGGAGGTTTTAAAGTTTGTCAGGAAAAAGGGCAAGGTTTCCTGACAGGGTCTTTTTATATATTTACCTGCGTGGGGTTTTGGTCCCCCCGCCGAGGGCTTCCATGGCTTATCCCTCCACCCCCTTTACAAAGTTGGTATGTTATAAAACCCTTAGGTACAAAAAGTTTGGGTTAATAAACTCAACAAGTTTATTTTGAATGAAATCAAATTTATTTGACTTCATATCTTTTGGGAAAATACCGAAAAAATTTTGTTAATTGAGGTGCAGTAAGAAGAGAGGGTCAAAAAAATGTAATGGCCGATTGTGGTCACAGAGGGCCTTGGGGCTAACTTTTCCTATGGGTGAATTTACCCGTTGAGAATTTAGTGGCTAGTGGTTAGTGGTAAAACCTCAAAAACCCCGCGGGAACCCGGGGGGGGGGCCCCCCCCCCCCCCCCCCCCGGGGGGGGCCGGGTCCCGCCCCGGGTTTCCCCCCACTTGGAAAAAAATTTTAGGACAGGGGCGGTTCACGCGGAAGGTTTAAACATTTGGAAGGGAAAAGGGAGGTTTTTGTAGGGCCTACTGGGTTTGGCTAAATTTATAAGGCGTGCCCGCTTTTGGGTTCAACGTTTAGAACGGCAGTTTTTACTTTCGCCTTTAACTGATTAGCTCGCGGGTAACCTGTCTAGCGAAGGAAACCTACTAGCCTAACCAAGGGAAACCTAACGGGCCTCCAAACTAACCTAACGTAGCCTAACGCAACCCCAAATATAAACCCCGCCCCAAAAAGAAACCAACCTAACGTAGCCCAGCGTAACCTAACCCAACGTAGCCCAACGCAAGGTAACCTAACGTAATTTAAAACCCGATGTAGCCTACGCAAGCTAAAATAACGGCCCAAGCAAGGTAACCTAAGTAGCCTAAAGCAAACCCAAACCTAAAAAGCAACCTAACCTAAAAGTGCCCAAACCAAGGTAACCTAACGTAGCCTAAAGCAACCTAACCTAACGCAACCTAACCCAACGTAGCCTAAAAGCAAGGTAACCTAACGTGCCTAAACCCAAGGGAACCTAAAGTAGCCTAAGCAAGGTAACCTAACGTTGCCTAACGCAACCTACCTAAAGTAACCTAAGAGCCAACCTAACGTTGAAAACTAATTTTTACCTTACCCGAACTAATTTTAAATTCAGCAAATTGTCTTTTTTTTTTTTGTTACGGAAAACGTTTTTAAGGGGGTGCCCGAGGATCCGTAGGAAAAATTAAAGTAGTGAAAAGAGGATAGATTGGTTAATTAGGAGACTCCCCGTCATTTACGTATTCATTCCCGGTCGTGATCCCCGGAACCAGGTCGTGAATCCCCGGAACCAGGTCGTGAATCCCCGGAGCCAGGTGTGAATCCAGGAGCCAGGTCGTGAATCCCCGGGGGCCGGTCGTGAATTCCAGGAGCCCGGTGGAAATTCCCGGAGCCAGGTCGTGAATTCCAGGGGCCAGGGGCGTGAAATTTCCCGGGGCCAGGGCGTGAATTCCAGGAACCAGGTAGTGAATCCCCCGGGGCCCGGTGTGAAACCCCAAAAGCCAAATTGAATCCCAAGAGCCAGGTTTGAATCCCAAGGCCAGGGCGAAAAACCAGGAGCCAGGGGCGTGAATTCAGGTGCTGGTCGTGGAATCCCCCAAAAGCCAGGTTGTGAAACCCCGGGGGGGCCAGGACGTAATTCAGGGTGGTCGTGAAACCCAAAGGGGCCCGGTCTGAAACCAGGGCCAGGGGGCGTGAATCCCAGAAACCAGTCGTGAAACCCCGGAGCCCGGTCGTGAATCCAAGAGCCAGGTCGTGATTCCCAGAGCCAAGTCGTGAAACCCCAAAAGCCCGGTCATGAAACCCAGCAGTCAGTCATGAATCCCAAGAGCCAAGTCTGAATCCAAAAGCCAGGTCATGAAACTAGCAGTCAGGTCATGAAACCCAAGAGCCCCGGTCGTGAATCCCAAAGCCCAAATCGTGAATTCCAAGAGCCAGGTCATGAATCCTAGCGTCAGGTCTGTGCCAAAAGCCAAGTCGTGAATCCCAAGAGCCAAATCGGATCCCAAGAGCCAGGTCGGAATCCTAGCAGTCAGGTCATGAATCCCAAGAGCCCAAACCGTTTTCCCAAGAGGGCCGGTCGTGAATCTAACAGTCAGGTCATAATCCCCAAAAGTCAAATCTTGAACCCAAAAGCCAGGTCATGAATCCTAGCGTAAAGGGCTGAGTCCCCAAAAGCCAGGGTGAATCCCAAAAGCCAAGTCGTGAATTCCCAAAGCCAGGTCATGAAACCCAGCAGTAGGTATGAATGCCAAGGCCAAGTCGTGAATAAACCAATGTGAAAAAGGAAATTTTGTGAAAAGGAGGGAAAGACCATGGATTAAGAAAGAGGGGAAAGGTTGGAAATGGTAAAGGGGAAAGAAAAGGGGAATCCCAGAGCCCGTCGTGAATCCAGAGCCAGGTTTGTGAATCCAAAAGAGGTCTGAAAACCCAAGAGCCCAAACGTGAAACCCCGAGCCAGGTCGTGATCCCAGGCCCGGTCTGAATCCAAGAGCCCAAGTTTTTAAACCCAAAAACCATCGGAAAAAAAGGAAAAATTCCGTGATCCGAGAGCAGGTGTTTATGGGTCGTGATTCCCAAACAAGCGGGGGTCAAACGTTGGGGAAACCCCGGAGCGTGGGACCCAAAGCCCCGAATCGTCAAAACCCCAAACATTTTTAAAGGAAAGGGAAAGTTAGGAAAAATTTCCAAAAAAACACGGTCAAACTTCCCCCCCCCCTTTTGCGTTGTCGTTGTACTTCCTCAAACAAAAGGCTTTTTCAAAACTTTTTTAAATCCCTTTTAAAATGTGTGGGAGAAAAATTAATTATAAAAAAAAAAATTTTTTAAAAAATTTTTAAAATTTTAAAATAAAATTAAAAAAAATAAATTTTGTAAATTTTTTTTTTGTTTAAAATAAAACTGATTAAGTACCCGGTTGGTCCCCCGGGGCCACAAAAAGAAACGTGTTTTAGGGGGACTTGATAAAAAGGGG